TAAATAAATTGTTTGGTAAAAGTTGTTTTGGTAAATATCATCTTGTGAGTTAGTAATAACAATTAGAAATTTTCATCCTATGTATTTATTCATATTTTTTATTAGAACAATTGCAAAACGTTCAAACACGAATGAGTCTCATGACACAAGTAGTAGTGAAGATGAGCTCCAGATAGACGTTTATACAGATATGTTAGAAAGACTAACTGTAGAAGATTTTCTTCTACAGTTAGTCTATCGTTTTGATAGCAGTGATAGTGATATCGTCCAAGCAACAAGGCGACGAGAGAAAGAGTTCGCATAGATAGCGATTACAACAACAAAACAAAATTATAGAACAAACAATAACAAAATTATAAAAAATAAAATATTGATTTTTTTGCAAATTTCTCGATTTCAGCCAATTTATATAAGTCATATAATATTATTATAATATGTTAGTTAGTTCCAAAACCATACTAAATAATACGAGGGTTTGTAAATGCCCGTTTCTGCCGAAAAGTGGCGCTGAGTAGCTGGTAGCCAACGTCCAGAATGGTTCGGAGTGCTAAGGGTTAAAGCTCTCGATATAATAATGAAGCACACGTGTTTACTCGTCTGCAACACCGCACGAACGGTATTGCGTCGCGGAATAATACGTGCATGGCATCGCATAAGCGGAATTATGTCGCGAGGTATCTCGTCTGTGATCTTATACGAACTGTATCGGCGTCGCGACATGATACGTCAGCGAGAGCGAAGCGGTTAAGTATGCATCTTAATGTTCGCGAATACCCTAGTCGTTTAATATAATTATTAAAATTTTAAAATGTCATTTTGGTTTTATTTCTTCTCACACACAATTTGTTTTACATTAGCACGATCTCATACCAGACATTTTAAGAAAGTTGCACTTTAAATTAGTGTTTATGGTATTAATGGTAATGACACAGTCCTGTACGGTTAAAAATCGAAATTTAAATTTTACATTTTACATCTGTTACGTGTGTTACGTGTTACGTTTTACGTTTTATATTTTACATTTTATAATACAGTGTCAGGACAGGCTTATATCAGTAAGGATATCTTTATAATTGTAGCTGCAATGAATAGCTGAGATTCTTCTGACGTATTAAAATGGGTTCAAACAGGCTGTGAATCGGAATAAATTTATCGACATACCTATTATTATATGTAGATTGCTTATTAATAAATCCGATTCCATCATTCATTTTTATTAAAAGAATCTCTCCATGCTACAATTATAAAGGTAATGTATAAAAACCGACCGTCGCTGCTCGACATACAAAATCAATTTCCTTGCATTGTTGTACCGTGCTGAAGCAGGTTGTCACGTGACTCACATAAGTCTACTGCGCTGCCCTTCAACGGACGCTTCAACCACTCTGCGCAGCTGCTGATCCCTGACGTCACGAATGGAGTCACGTGGCAATTATAGGAATCCCTGGCCACTCTGTGCCAGAGTAAATTCTAAAATGGAAAATGTGGCCCGAACTTTGTACTGTAAACAACAGTAGCTTAGTTTAGATTTTTCATTAATATCTTGAAAACTAGTAAATGGCCGAAACCAATATTTTATATTTGTCGTCTAACTCTGCTCCCCCATCTCCCCTCCAAACGCCATATTGATCGGCGACAGATCTATTTCGGAAGTACAGACTTATACACTACTTTCTTACTTTATTTTACCGAATTACCTTCGGCTGTTTACCACATGGACACAATAATTATGAGAAATGTAACGAATTTTGTAGTTTTAATAATACTTTGATATCTGTTTGTTAACATTTTGAACCTTGTTTTAATCTCTTTTACGTCTTAGCTCAATTTGTTACTTCACTTAGTTTTAAATATATTCCCTCTTTTGGACCGTATACTAAGGAACGTGGATTATTTTCATACGGAATCATTGTTTTTCCACAAACGTCGACTTTAAAATTTTCTAGTGTTTTTATTATGCCCACTTTCGTTTGGTAAACTGCAAAACGTGCACCTACAAGAAAAATTCAAAATTAAATTAAAGTATCCGTGATACCAAATTTATCAAATATTATGCATTGGTCATTGGAGAAGCTGTAGAAATATACAGGATGTTGAAAAGGAAGTATCAAAGACTTTAATGTTTTATAGTTATCAATGAGAGTAGTAAAACATTTTCAGCGCTCTACTATATATACCTACGGTCTTAAAAAAGTGAAAACATGCACAAATCGAATTCAAAGTATAATAAAATTTTCTTTATTAAATTACCAATGCAATTTCGTGGTCCATCTCCAAAAGGTAAGTAGCTCATTGGATGTCTCAGTGCAACTGCATCATGATTAAATCTTTCTGGGTCAAAGACTTCTGGATTTGGATAAATGCTGGGATCATGATGAAGTCCTAATACCGGAACAAATACTCTAGTACCTTTAGGAATTGTTACTTTCGTATTACTAAAGGTATAGTCGCTGTTGCATTTTCTCCTCAACAAAGCTCCTGGAGGATACTTCCTCAGTGTTTCTGTGAATTGAAAGATTATGTGACTTAAAATATTAGGTCTATAAAAAAACATATATAAATTAGAGTTGTTATTCATATGAGATATTTTGTATTTTGCGATAAATAATAGAACATTGGAACAATTAATTGTAACACGTCAACATCTTCTCAATTTAAAAATTATTTGAGCAGCTGATGTTATATTGGATTTTGATGATATTTGAATGATTCAACTCGACTTTTTTTTAAAAAAGAAGGTAAATATTTGGTTTAACGAACCCAGCTCCGATGATCTTAACATTGACATATGTTGTCAAGAACGTCATTTTCAACAATTATTTTCTCTCCTTCCTTCTAACCTTATAAAATATCTCAGGCTTCTAAGAAGACTGGAGCTGGGTCTTGTAAATTTAACCCTGCACCACTGTAATGAAATATCGTCTGTATATAACCATTATATTAGATTGTTGCATTATTGCTGCCGTATTTTTTACCAAATTCCCCTACGTTTCGCAGTTGCCGTTAATTTAATTCAAGCGGGACTTTCGAAACTATTTGGAGAATGATGGTTAGAGATAACAATCAGTATATCAATAAATAAGCGAATGGTTTCGCAAAGTTCTAGTAGTTTATCCAAAAATACAACCAAAATTATGCAACAATTATCAATGAATGTATGTGTATACGTACCTTTAAAAACTTTGTCTAAATATTTCATTTCTTTTATATCATCATACTTGATGGAGCCATTGTTTTTTATACTAAACTCTTTAATTTCTGCACGCAATTTTTCTTGCACCTGCGGATTCAGCGCCATCTCATAAAGAGCGTGACAGATAGTAGTCGATGATGTTTCGAAGCCAGCTGCGAAGAAGACCATCGCTTGCGCAGCTAGCAAGTTGTCTGTCAATTCTGAAATAGATTATCGACTATTTAATTGAATTCGAATGAGGGGGGACTCTGCTGTCGTTAAAACAAATACTTGGAGGAGATGTAGAGAGGGGGAAGAGGATCCAAAATATAAAAATTTAATTTCAGAAATATAGTAGCTTCCAAGATTTTAATGAAAAATGTTTACTACTACTAGAATGAATCCAGTGTGTACCCACATATAATTGTATGACACTTTGTTCACATTATTAGCAATATGTAATGTAATTAAATTATTAGAATATCATAGTTATTAACAGTAAAATAAATAATAAATACAATTAAAAAGGATCAACGATGACAAAATGTGATCATACAAGTTGGTTCTCCTATACGTTCCTACCTAAATATCCTCTCCAACAGAGACGTTTCAAAAAATGTTCTTATATGGAATTTGACTTGCATTGAGAATCGAATATGATACAAAAGTAATTTTTTTAAGTTTATTTATTTCGTAGTTTTCAAGGTCATCGATAACACTTTTTATAGATGCCAGGGATGTCAGAAATTTTTACGATATTCAAATATATTAGAGCCTAGATAATATTAATTTCGAAATTGTTTAAGAGTTGCAAGCCCTCAATATCTCCAGTTTTGCCCATTTTTATGAAACTTCGAACTTCTTATTTGAATTTATATTTCCGAAACGATTAAAGATACAAAATTGTGATTTTTCCTGGTAATCTTGAAGGATACTGAAAAAACTAACTAACTAACTAACTGAAAAAAATTTGTATGTATTTAAAAAAATATTTCTTTAACATACAAAAAGTAAATATACCTTTGATTTGTAAATTTGAACCTCGATCATGTGCAGAAAAAATTAAAAAGAATGTGTTCGTCTTCTGGAAGCTCTCCTATTTCCATTCTAATTTTTTAATTCGTGGATATTTTGAATGTGTAATTAAGGTAGGGCGGAGAAGGTTGTGGCGTCCCCCGATTTAGGAAAACCAACCGAGTGTTCCAATAGGGCGGTTGGCTAACGATACCTTATATTATTTGAATGAAGTTGTAAAACATAATCGACAGGTTTTCAAAACAGCTGAATGACGTCATTTATACTCTCGGAAGAATTTTAGTAATTTACACTTGGCCAATGACATTTGTTTTATAATAATCACACTTGTGGGTAACAGTTCGTGTTACTTTCAAAATAATTTCATTAGTTATTAATAATTTCATTAATTATTTCAAAATAATTTATTTCTTTACAAACACATGATTATATTAGTAAAATGGAAAGTACATTTCTACATTCTACTATATAGTCCATAAGTGAGAGTGTATTCGTAATTTTGACAGATTTTTCAGAGGACTATAACTGTATTGTTCAAACCGTTCCGGATTGGCCAGAAAGGTCACATTGTTAAAAATTGTTGTGAAAGTCATAACCGAGCTGCCTATGCAAATGGCAGACAATTTTAAAGCATTGCCGAATGAAAAAAAATGTATTCAAGATAGAAGGGAGCAATTAAAGCAAAAAACTATTAAAAAACTCTATAAATCGGTGCCGAAGATAACGATGGCTGTTAATAAATATAAAGGAGGAGTCTCAAAATACAGGGTTCCCCGGAAAGAATCATCCGATTCCAAAAATTTATATTTTAAAAAATTACACACAGAAAATTATAATTCAAACACGAATATAACGGGAAAATGTGTAAGTTTTTGTTTACAAGTGTTCAATATGACTTCCTTTCGTTACACGTATGATATCATTGCGATATGAAAGTTCTTGCCAAACACGGTGTAATGTATCTCTGGTAATTGTTTGTACAGCATCACAAATGCGTTTTTTCAGTTCATTTACACTTGTAGGTAAAGGTGGTACAAAGACAAGATCCTTCACAAATCCCCAAAGGAAGAAGTCGCATGGAGTTAGGTCAGGTGATCTCGGAGGCCAAGTGTGTAGAACCATATTATCGGATGAACTGCGACCAATCTAACGGTATGGTAGTTCCGTGTTAAGAAAATTCCGAACCTCCAAGTGCCAATGGGGTAAAAAGTAAAACTCATACATCTTCCCGTTATATTCGTGTTTGAATTATAATTTTCTGTGTGTAATTTTTTAAAATATAAATTTTTGAAATCGGATGATTCTTTCCGGGGAACCCTGTATTAAGCATCAAATATCATTCCATCATTTATTGCTACAAGTGTGCCATCATTTTGTACCACTGCATTCCTATAAAAATTTTTTCTTTTCAAATAAAATTGATCAGACTGGTGAAATTCAATAATATTTCATTTTTGTATGTTTATAGTGGTATTTCGAAAATTTGTATAGAAACAAAACCTCGATTGTAATGTTAAATAAATAAAAATTATGTTAATTTAAAAGTGCCCTATCTTCTTGTCCGATAGTGTATGCACAATCGGACTGGTTTCACGGTCAGCTCACACCACATCCTCATGCATTTAACCACAACCAATCTCGCAACTGCATATGTGCGATTATGCTTTGTTTCGTATTTTCGGTGGTATTTGGGGTAATCAAGTGCGTCTCGTACAAAATGTTTAAAAAGCTATACGTTAATAACTATAATTAGACATTACTATTGTAAAAATACAAATGTGGGGCCGTGGTAGCTTTAATGTATAATAAAATCGGTATTTTTAAGTTTCCCAATTTTTTAGAAAATTAACTTTCAAACGAAAAATTCTGAAAATATTCTTAGTGTTGTGCCCCTTAGAAGACCCATTGATTTTTTCATAACTTTTTGTTCTGCAGAATAGAAAACATAGAGCACAATCGGTTACTTCGATCTAACCCTGTAATTATTCTTGTGCTAGAAGTAGCGACTTGAAACTTGACTGAATTACATTAATTCACATTGTTCACATGGCTTGACATCACACAATTTTAGTCCAAAGTAGGACCCTTATGCAAAAACAACAACAGTTAGGTGTTAAGATGACGAAATCTAAATACTTTCTATAAAAGCGCTTTGTATACTCCTCAACTTTGTGGGTTATTTTAATGCTTGTGATATGGTAATCTCATGGATAATTTTCCTTCGCGGTCAAGATGCAAACTAACTTTTTTTAAATTGTAAAACTGTTTAACAGGGTTTCCAGGGGCATGGCTGCGGTTTTTAGCCGTTCTCCAGTCTTCGTCGAGCTAACGTCGCAATGTATTCCTCGCAAGAACAATACCGAATGTTTTGAGTATATTTGTGGAGTGTCATGGAAATGTGAATGAAACAGTGCGGAGGTTGCGGCAGAATATTGCAAACGCGGTCAGTTAATGCAGGAATCAAAGAAAGGAATCCAAGGGATATCTGCATACCTTCCCCAACTGCCGAGGGTTAATTGAGTGACCAGTGTTTGGAAACAGTGATGTGAAAGTAAACTCTGTGAACTCCTTTAATCAAAATGAATCAAAGAGAGGAGTTCGACGAACCTTCCTTCATTATCGAGGATTCATTAAGTGGTCAGTGTTTGGCGACAATGCTGTGAAAGTGAAATCCGTGTTTATCATACCGTTCCTATTTAAAGTGCCTCCGACCATATCTCTTCCTCGGTATAGCCATCGAAATGAGATCGACTGAATTTTGAGCGAGGTCGGAGCACCGACATCGTGAATCGTAACTCACATTCACAAGCAACAAATGAGTCCTCAACTGAATAGGTGAGTTTATTGCTAAATACATTCTTCACAATTCTTAAACAAACATATCTTTCGTTCGTTGAATTCTGTTTGGATACGGAATTATTGAAACAAAAATATCTTTTGCGTAAGTTTGACGGGTTTTTTATTGTTAATCTTCACAGTAATCGGCTCAATTAATATCTAAAATGGCTATCACGGTTAAACTAGTAACTATTTCTGCTCTGAAAAATTAGTAAATATTCTTCAGACATTCTAAAATAAGGATTAACTGCGTTTTTTATAGAAATGTCACCGTAATGTAGTAAAAAGAAAATCGGAAAGTTCACGCTCCCTGACTTGTCCATTGCTTCGAACGCAGCTCGAAGCCTTCACGCCCCCGGCCGAAGCCGCGAGACACTGACTCGATCGACTACGTTGCCGTTCACGCGCTCGCCTCTAATTGGTCACTGTGTTTTTCGTTAATAACTGGTAAACAAAACCGCAGATTGCATCTTCGTCAAAGAAAGAGTTATTTCAAATGACCTCAGGAATCGCCCCATTTCCCGGGAATACGATAATTTTGGGACACTCCGTAGAACAGTTGTAAAGAAAATTAAAACTTACCAATATCTTGTAACTTCTCTGGGTGATTCCTTAACTCTATCAGCATGTTCACGAAATCTGGCCTAATCACGTTATTTTCTTCTCTATACTTGATAGTGTCCGATACAACTCGTACGAAAAATGAAGTAAGATGCGAATACGGTTGTAGAGACATAATAAAGAAGTATAATTTCGGCAGAAATTCTCGGAATGTAAACCTTAAGGTATCCCATAGCGAAGTTGAGAAAACCTTCTTTCCCATTCGCCGAAATTCACTTTCTTCATTCGATAATGCGTTCACGTTAATACCAAAAGCACAGCTACCGATAACGTCAGTCGTGAATCTTGCTGCTACCTCGCGACACTCTATCGGCACCCCTTCTTTTTCTAGTTTCACCAAATATTTCTCTAAGTGCTCCGAGCATTCCATTATCAAGTGAAACATTTCCTTGAGTTTTCCAGATGTAAAAACAGGCGAGAGCCTTGTCCGTAGTGGCCGCCATCTCTTTGCTTCTAAATTGAAGATGTGTTCGGATAATGGTTCCACCTATAGCCATGACACTAGTGAGATTCTTCACTTTTTATAAATGTTGTCTGTAGAGTTCTTACGCGACAAGAAGACTTTCTGTTTATATTCCCTCTCTTACGAGCTGTCCTACTACCGCACCGTTCCCATCGTCACTGCTGTCCGATAACGGTGACGATGACCACTAGCGGCAGAGGGGGATGTAAACACAAAGCTGCCTTTTTGTCGCGTGGGGACTGTACCTATAGTGTACATGGTACCTCAAAACTCCCGGAATGATCAGCTACTTTAAGAAGAAAGCGTTTTATATATATGTAAATAAATGCTCTAGACAAAGATATGGCTGCATTAAATTGCATTCTGTTTAATGATCAAAGTCGTATCAAATTCAACATGATCCTTTTAAATGGATGGATTTAATTGTTCCAACTCAGAGAGTAACGTTGAGCTTAGCGTAACGTTGACCCACCCATATAAAGTAAAGGGCGTATGGCCAATTAATAAAATGTTTTAACTTTTATGGAGTATTCTCAAAAACGTTTTGGTTCTGAAACAGTCGACAATTTCAAGACTTTGGAGTACCCATGTTTCGAAGCTCATAATTCAGAAAACTTAAGAAAATGAACAACTGATGTTTTGGAGTGGATTCCTTATCATTTAAATCTACTTATATAATTAAATTGTATATAAGTATACTTTAATGTGATTTTGATCCGCCCTTTCAAAGTGATAACGTTTGTGAACATTAAATATTACGTTTAATACGTCCACACTTCTAAAAAATTCTTAGTTTTTGAAGTAATTGACCGTTCCGGCCATTTTTACAAGGCAAAACGACAAGGTGACTTATGGGCCAAAGATAATTTCAGAGTGACAATTTTTGCATAGGAATTCGACATCCAACAATTTCAGACATATATTATTTTCATTGCTTACATTAAAAAAAACTAAGAATCTCTATCTCCTGCTCTCAAAGTTGCAGGTAATTTAACCAGCAATGAAATATCTTGACAACTATTACACACCAAATGCAATTTCCTTCTCTTTGACTAATAATGTTTTTTCAGATATAGAACGGTTGCGAGCTATTTAACCTGTTCTTCTATATTTTCTAGTAAAAAGTTAAACGTTTCTAATACAATTCTTTGATCTTATATCAAAGGAAAATATCCGTAAATACATTTGTTATGCCTACCTTCCCATTAATAACGACTCCACGATGATCGAAAACAGAAAAATCTTTGATGAGAACATCCTTAATGAGATCCATGTCACATACGATAGCATTAGGAGTACTGTTTATAAAGATTCCAATAAGGGGCTCATTTTTGTATTTTTCATACAGCTGCCTTATATAGACGCCAAGATGTTTTTTTCTGAAGAAAACATCTTTAGTATTCCCAAATACAGGTATCGGATCAGGTCCAGGTACATCTTTACTTTTCCAAAAATCGAAGGATGATGTTAAGTAATAATAGACAGCAACGAACACCAACGCAATGGCGCTGAGTATTTGAAGACATTCAGTCATGATCGTAGGCTTCCTAAAAATAATATTTACGAATGCTTCAGGAATAAACAAACATTTCATCATATTTCTACTTAATTTCTATATAGTTTCTTGACGTTTTATTTGGCCAACACTTCACGCTTACGTTAATGGCACATTTTTTGTTTTAATGTATGTGTTTAATTTATTTGCATGTACATGTTAGTTCATTACAATTTTAGAAGCATTTTTGATTCACATCTTTATATTTGTTAAATGAGCTAATTGATACTCATCTTTGTAGAGAAAACTTATAGAATTTGAAGAATAAAGTGTACAAGTATAAACAAACCGGAAGATATTAACAATCATCGTTTAGAAATTTTTGTAAAATTATTTTTAATCTTTAGAAGGTATATGCTATGGTCGCTTAAAAGGTCTCAATCTGTCTATCATCCGATTTAAATATTCAACAACTATAAAAATGAGCCGTGAGTCTCGAATAAGTCTGTGTTTTCTCAAATTGTCCATTTTTGTTTACAAGCTGAGGAATAATTGGAGAGGATTTACCGTAGTGACGTATCATAGAGAATACACAATATGCGCATAAAATTCATATTGGATGAGAATAAACAGAAATTACTTACCAAGTTTAAAAAGTGGAATTACGATTATAACTATATGTCTTCAATGAGATATACGATTTTCGATTGTTGTTGTCGCGTGTGACCTAAAAGAAGTAAAGATGGAATTCACTGACTTATTCGTTTTACCTTCTTTTTCCTATAACTTTACGGATCGTGAATTGAATGTAAATAAGTAAAATTATGAAATAAAAAAATTTGTTCTCACAGTCTAAAAATAGAATAAAATAGAATTGAAATATATTAAATTGTATTGTGATAAAAGTTTAACTTTCGGATGACGTTTTTTGCCCAAAATTGAATTCAAGTAACCTGCTTAAACACCTCACGAACTAATGACAAGCATATTCCATCAAAGTCGGTTAACGCAGTGTCAGGTTACAAGTAATGAAAGATTTTAAAAACTGCAGATTTCCGACAGTTATTAGCCGGAGGTGTCAAAAAACAGAACAAAATTGCGATTCTCGCGATCTTTAATTCTTTACAGCTTCTATCAAGGTCTACCGATTTCGATAAAAAATTTTCTGCATGCATGTAACTTTCCGAGAACTACATAATGCATTTTTTAAATTTTGCTATTGCTTAGAATGACAAAAGAAAGTAAAAATTCTCGTTTTTTAACTTTTTTATCTGAACCTATAACGGAAAATTTAAAAAAATGTTGACCAAAAGCTGGAAAAAATCTGCAATTTTTTAAATCCTTTAAACGTCTGTAGCTCGACTCTATGTTAACCGACTTCAATCAAATTTTTAACACGCATATGAGTTACCGAGATCTACGAAAGGCATTTTTTAAATTTTTGTTATAGGCTCAGATAAAAAAGTTAAAAACGAGAGTTTTTTTTTTATCATTCCAAGTAAATACAAAATTTAAGAAAGTCATTTCAGCCATCTAGTAGACTAGTCCCTCTATTAACTAAAAAAAATTCAAGTTATTCAATTGAGTTTTAAAAAAGCTATTACATTTTAAAAGGTGAACGAATACTTTTGTGGGTTACTGTAAAATCCTAATCACCGCTGTAAAATTCTTAACCGCTCGACACGTAACGGGACCGAACGACTTAATTTTTTTTTGAGACGTTAGAGGAACTAGTTTCGTAGACAATGTCTAAACAATTTTTTACAAATATTACAATTAGTTGGAATGACAGCTGAAATAAAAAACTCACGTTTTTAAACTTCTTTTCATCAGAGCCTAGGACGACAATTTAAACATAATATGCTCCAAGTTTTAAAAAGTTATTCGGTTTTAAAAGATGTTCGAATATTTAATCAGTAATTATGCATAATAAAAGATTAAATGAATAAATATTACTTTCAAGCATATAAGTGAAATTAGTATCTTAGTTTCTATAAAACAAGGAAGATATCAGGATTTAAGGAGGTTAACGTGCCGTTTCATAAATAAGTCCATATTTTATACTAGTTTTTGAAAAATAATATTCTACTTTTACCATATTTTGCATGCCCTTACTATTTAATTCGTGGTGGTAACAATACTAATTACTTTATGTTTCTTTCTGCGTATGTTAAATAAGGTTAAATTATTTTTCTTAACAATTGTTATATTAATATAACCGCACTGCTTAAACAACATTTTAATTTTTTCAAACAGTTATTACAAAATATCAACGTAATTAATGTTATTGCATTGCAAATGTTATTAGCATTTATTTTTATTATATTTGTATACGTGACGTTTACAATCCAAATCGTTTAACTCTACTTTCAACAATTTTAAAAACTTTCATGTTTAAATACTCCTTATACTCTTACCTTGATCAACTCTTATGTCAACATTACACAACCGGAGAGTTTACGAAAAATAAAACAGGTTCTTGACCCAAGTGCAGAATTTCACAAGACTTGCTTAATTAGATTCTATGAGCGTGGACGACGTTTAGTTCTGTGGTTCGGTAAGAATTTCTTGAGGACTTATTACGTGTGCGTTCGAAAAGAATCTGACGATTTGAGGCAAAATGATGTACACATATATATTCTAAGTTGAGTGGTGGGGGTTTATCAGTTCTAAGGACTAGTATGTATAGCGAAGTTAGTGTTTTGAAGATGACCAGGCAAAGGTTCGAATATTATGTAGCAAGAATAGAGGTGGAGAATGAGATAAAGCATGAGAATGAGTCACTGCGTGAAAACATGGGTTTGTAGAAGATTTTGGGATGTTTGGTAAGAAGAAAATGAAATGACGTTGGTATACAATATAACGTTAAGAACGATAAATGATGATCATCACAGTAAGAGTAGTAATTATAATAAGAAGAAGAAGAAATAGAGTAGTAGGGTAGAATGTAACAACTTAATATACAGTTCCTTAATATTGAGCTTAACACCAAGAAATAACAAATATTCCAGTGGTTGTAGAATAATTGATAATTAATTTTTATATACAATATGCAGGATTATACACTTAAATGTTTTCACCTAAATATTTCTTCCAATGACGATATGACGAAAAATTTTCTTATTTGGAATTTAACTGTTATCAACAGGCGAATAGTATGCAAAAGTATTTTTATTCAAGGACATGTTAATTTGCATTTAAGTGCATATTTTTTAATGCACTTACATACACTACTTGTGGTTCAATTGGAAATTTTTTTAGTTAAAATAACATGCTTAAGGATCTTTTTGTACCCATTTTTTAGGGGATGCTGAGACGAATTCGACAAGTATCATAATTGTTATTTCTCTTAACTGCCATTTTTGCAAAAAATTGTAACACTTTGCCCAGCTAGCTGCTCCTTCTAACATCTCAAAAAGATACAACTGGTTTGGTCCAATTTTATAAATGTTATTCTGTTTTAGAATATGTCCAGATATACATGCCTACTACTGCATATTAGACAGATTACAATTATACATTATTATATAATACGTGTCGTTACATTAAACTTACATTATAATAGAATATTCTATAATGTTTAATTGACTTTATACTTCTTCAGTATTACTCTATCACTCTATGATGTTTAGTTTATACTTTTTACTTTATACTTCTTAAGGGTAATTTAAAAAACAATATTTCATGTAGATACTATTCTGTCACTCTTCTCTGCTCTTTTTTGGGAAGTTTTGATTTGGCAAGGGTGCGGTTCATATTACGAACATTTATTGTGATAAAATTTATTTAAAAAAAATGGAATTATTAAAATTCTGGGAGGTTGGCATATTTATGATACATACTGCACGTTATGTTAATAAAAAAGCTGTTACATGAAATCAATTCATCTCAATTAATTTTCTGAAAAATGTGAGAGTTACTCATGACTTTCAAGCAATGAGTCAACTGATAGGTTTGCACAGAAAGAGCAAGTCATCTGAGTAACAGGTGACAATCGAACAAGTTTCAATAATCGCAGCAGAAACTGTTATAGAATGGCTCGTGAAAACGAACATGTCTAAATATGTACAAAAAGTATAATAAAAACAGAAACTAATACGTATGATTCATATGTGTGTACATCTTTTAACATAATTCAATGATCCTTGTGGTTTGAAAAATCAAATAATCTAACATCAAGTGGAATGAGAAATATTTGCAAAATACCTTAAATTCCCATGCCTTATAATAAATAGTTTGAATACCAAATGACTTAAATTTCTTTTTAGAAAGAGGGGCTAATTTCCTAGAAACTAGCCAGTTTCCTAGATAATGACTATATTACAATTTTTAATTTCATGGTTATTTGTAGATCCTGGTTAGTTATAAAATTTCATCGAAATCCGTGAAATAAGATGTGAACGATTAAAGATCGCGAGAATTACGAATCCAAATTTTGGACCCTTTCGACTAATAACTGTTAGAAATCTGCAGTTTTTTAAATATCTGAACACTTGCAGCTTGACTTTGCGTTAACCGTTTTTGATGAAATGTTCAGTAAGCATAGAAGTTACCAGGATCCATAAAACGCATTTTTTAAATTTTCGTTGTAGGCTCAGATAAAAAAGTTAAAAAATCGTGAGTTTTTCTTTTTTTGTTATTCCAAGTAATAGCAAAATACAAAAAAAATAGTATCTAAGATAAATTCATGTCATTTGGACTAATTTTAAAAAAGTTCTTCCGTTTGAAAAGCTGTCAATATACTTCCTGCGACAAATGTGTGTACAGTTCGTTAAGAAATGTTTGATCTCGGCTATCGTATCGTATTCGATACATTCGGAACGGTAAACATCTATGTAAGAATGTTCTCTCACAAGTGTCCTTGGTCACGATTTCTATGGTCAAATTTTCACATATCCTTATATTTCATTCTCTTGGAGAAAATGTCTGTTACTACTATAAATAGTAGACTATGTATTTTATGCATTTACGCTATTCGCAACTTATCAAAATAATTAAAAGAAATAATTTATTTTTAATTTAATTTCTATTTCTTACAATTATCTTCGAAAATTTTTATCTTGTATAAAGATCCACAGTCTAATAATGAGGAATGGGATTTGCACTTTTTTTTACGGCTGGCAAGCGACCTATACAACGGGTGACTTGTAAAAAAGGTATCTTTTGTGCATGTAGAAAGTGGAGAGTTTGATGTTTTCGAGATATTTAATATTGTCGAATGCGAGAATCGTCATAACCTTGTTTGCTTCACTTGCTCAAAAAAAGATAAATATCCAAAAGCAACATACTACCGCTCCAGACGAAAGGAGGAGATATAAGAGAAGAGGATTCGATATATAAAAATTTTGTTTCGGGGACTTGAGAGTATTCAAGATATTAATGGAGAATTTCTAGTAGGTTTGGAGGGTTCTAAGACCTCTCTTTACCATTTCGGTGTCGTGCTCAGCATTACCGATAGTTCACGTATTTAGGGACATTAGTATAAGAATCGAATATTCTATATATTTCATTTCTACTACGAAAGCTGAATATTATATGAAGACAATAATAATTGTATTCGGCGTGTACTGCAGAAATATAATATAAAATGCAGTTATTTAAATGGATAGTTGGGATATTACTTCTAATAACTATATAATTAGAAATGGTATATTAGGTTTATACATTTCTTTTTGTTGGCTCGCATTTCCAACGTTAATAAATTCACAGGCTTTACAGCGATAGCATTCTTTTCAGAACTTGACGAATAACAGTTTAAAATACTTTATGTTTGATATTTATCTTTATGTATCTTTCATTTTGTAATACCATCTTTCGAATAATAATGGAGAGATTATTCTACAATATAGTATTATTTATTATATGTCATATTATATTTATTATATGTCAATAAACGATTTATCGTGTTTAACATAGGTGAATTCTACATCTTCGATCAACCGATGAAGATCTGTTAAAAATACAATAACTTCTCCGAGATTTGCCGAATTTCCGTATGCTGGCTATATAACATATTCAGGCTGTGCTATATACATATTCAGCCCTGTGATTTATTGCTACGTCAGTGAAGATGTGTGCCGCGACACGCAACGCGTGTCCTCCTCCTTTTACTCGAATTCCCAGAAGACAAATCATAATACAATGACATACCTCTTTTTAATTTTAAGTTTTTAAAACTGATTTTTTTTTAACATATTGCTGATAGTTTTCCGATTTAAATGAGACCAAACATGATGTAATTTGGACAAATACTTCTCATTGAAATAAAATCAAGCACGATATAATTTCGATTACATTTATTTATTTAATATTTATTGTGAATAATTGTATTCTATATTGAATTGTTTTGTAGCCCATCATCCTTGGAATCGTGTAGTATAGTGGTCTACAGCGATGATTTTCCACTATTTCCTAATAACAAATACAAATGTAAAAAAATTAACTTTAGATAATTTATATTCAAATTGACTGAAAATTCGTGGACCTCGTATCTAAACAGTGTCGTTCTTCCAGGACGTGGAACGACTTCCTTCTTTACTCCAAGACCTCTTAAAATTCCAGGATTGATGGAAAGATTACATTAAACAGTTCCTTCACATTCTCCATCAAAGGCGTAGGCTCGTACCACCGAATATTGATTGAATTATAGCATGTAATTGTAGTCGAATCCAGCCACGTCTTCTCGGAATTGCCGTCGAATTCAGATATGTCCCCTCGGAATTGCCGTCAAATCCAGGCATGTCCCCTCAGAATTGCAGTCGAATCGTCGCTGCTCCCTCGGAATTGCAGTCGAATCGAGGCCCGAATAGTGTAACTCCACTAATATCTTCTTTTGAACAACATGTATATTTAACTTTAATATCTATCGTGTAACTTTAATATCTTTCTAATACTTTTTTTGTTATAATGCAATTTGTATAATGAAATGGAATAAGTTACTCGCCACGTATAATGAATGAATATGGTCTAAAGCATGTCGTGCTTGGCCTCATTTTAAATGGAAGAATCTGACCAATATATTAAAAAAATTTCATGTATAAAAGATTAGGAATAAAAAAATTATCTTATCGTTTCTACTCAAGCATATAATGTATTCATAACGTACACCGACATGCTGGCCGGTACCTTTTCAGGTAGTTTCGTTCGCTCCGAGTTTCATTTTCTCTCTCCGTCTCTCTCTCATGAGGAATTATAAAGGCGAGCCGCGAGGCTCGAAGAATAGCTACTTACAAGGGAAGGACCCCAGGGATGATGCTCGCTTTTTAATGAGATTTGGTACAGCGATAGAACTTGTAAAGCTGAATCCAATGATATCCGGTTTTGGAGGCAGACGGCTTATGGTTTTTGAGATAATTAATGTTATACTTGCTAATAAAAGGCCAGGAAGACAAACTAGATTATGCAGCTAGGCACCGCGTTGCAGGAAGTGGGGAGTACCTTTTAGTTTAAAATTAATTATCTCAAGAACTATAAGCCGTCTGCTGCCAACACTGGATATCATTGGATTCAGCTTTACGAGCTCTTTACAAGGTAATCCGAGGGAACCTGCCCTTGTGAGTCGTGGGGGCCACATCTTACACAAAGTTCGTTTTGATGTTACCACTTCAGCCACTCAAATATGTCCTTAATGAGTTTGTAGGTGTACTGTCCACTGGCCGATCCGTCCCAGCTTTTCACCCTGTTCAGATCGCACTTACGACCACCAGTATGACTGAAGCAGGTGTAATCTTGAAAGATTTTCCTCCTTTCATCTGCAAGAAGGACTAGAGGGATGCGCCCAGCCAAGATACACTGCATATCGAATACATACAATATGTTCGAAGTTCGCACCGTTAACAACACGTACAGCGTTGACAGGTTTCGTAACGTTCTCCTGAACCCTCTGCAGCATCCTTGGAGTAAACGCGTTGCTGTTGTTCGCACGGTATAAGAATAATTAGGTTTTATAGCCGACCTGCAAGGTAGGAATTATCAGACGCGGAAATTCTAGCTTTCCCGAGTGTATACCATAGACGGTTGGATCTCAAGGACTCGTAAAAGTGACAAAGTCCGGATCCTGGGACTGGTCGCTTGAAAGAAGACGACTTTTCAGATGGCGACAACTTTCCTTAGTTATTTTCTTCGAGACAATTCTCTCTTCAGTTTCAAGGATAGAGAATTTCCTCCCCTTTGCAATTGAGAAAGTCGTCGACGAGGACAACTATACTTCATTTACCACTTTTGTGTAATGAAATAATATCATTTCGCACGCTCAATGATAACTCGCTCTTCTTCGTAGACATGATTCTTGTTCATAGTGTAAACACGTACTAATTGTGTTAAATGAGGTATGAGATTCATAACAGTAAATGCTGTTTATGTTTACGTTCCTGAGTCCGAAATTGTCGCGTACGAAAGCGAGTAACACTTGCTCTTATAGCAAAATCGTACGTGTGCCAATACTTTTTTGACTCTGGATTTTTCGTTTTCTTGACTTTATTTCCTTATAACAAATAACTGAGACTTCTCAGTAAACATACTATTTATGTGCGTCAAAAGACGTTAATAAACATAGTTAATGTTAATAATTTATTATTACTAATTAATAATTAATAGATTACTTTATAGTTTAAAGATATTCGAAGAAAACTGGTTGTGCCAATACTTTTTTGACCCACTGCACATACTTTACATTATGACTCAGTTAAAGAAACAACAATTGAAATGAATTTGTTTAAGAGGCTCGTTGAAGGCTATTAATTTCCTGTAAATTTACTAGAACGACAATAATGTAAAATAAGAATATATTCAGAAATTAGAATCAGAACTTATTAATTTATTATTTATTTGAATCTTTTACGTTTATTAATGATTCGTTCGTAATTATTGATCAAACAGCTTACAAAATTAAATCAGTTTTATCTTACACATGTATTTATGTTCCGTAAGACAAGGTGAAATGGCTCGCCTTGTTGTTGTTTGTGGCACACGCTATCGAAACATAAATCGTAAGGGCAAGGAGCTAATTGAATGACCCAATCCACACTCTATTGAACATACAATGTGAAATTTATTTACTGACAAGACTTTACAAAGTACACAATACGAAGTTAGACTTGAGACACGAGAAAAACCGTCTTGGTAAAATAAGGAAGACTGTTTATTTCTGTCCTTAGAAGGAATTGTCTTGTTAGGAAAGGACAACCAAATGCCTACGGAAAACGTTCAACGGGAAAATGTATTGTGCTCTGCTGACTTGAAGTCCTGCAGGATGGTACTAGGCCAAGAGGAATCGGACCACTTATGAGATGGAATATTATTGAGATGGAAAATATCGCCGGAACATTGTACTGTAAACAACTGTTTTAGAGATCTTTAACAAGATAATCGCCCTGTATAACTTATGAGATCTATACAAATTATTGTGCGGTTAAGTTAACTTAGCTTAGATTTTTCATTAATATCTTGAAAATTAGTATTAATAATACTAGTATAAGTAAATGGCCGAAACCAATATTTTATATTTGTCGTCTACTCTCCTCCCCCATCTCCCTTCCAAACGCCATATTGATCGGCGACAGGTCTATTTCGGAAGTACAGACTTATACACTACTTTCTTACTTTATTTTACCGAATTACATTCGGATGTTTACCATACGGACACAATAAATATGAGAAATGTAACGAATTTTATAGTTTTAATAATCCTTTGATATCTGTTTCTTGTAGATGCTTCGATATCCTTAACATTTTGAACCTTGTTTTAATCTCTTTTCGTCTTAGCTCAATTTGTTACTTTACTTAGTTTTAAGTATATTCCCCCTTTTGGACTATATATTATGGCACGTGGATTACTTTCATACGGAATCATTGTTTTTTCACAAACGTCGACTTTAAAATTTGTTAGCGTTTTTATTATGCCCATTTTCGTTTGGTAAACTGCAAAACGTGCACCTAGAAGGAAAATTACAAATTAAATTGAAATAAACGTGACACAAGATTTGTCAAATATTATGCACTGAACATTATAGAAGCTGTAGAAATATACAGGGTGTTGAAAAGGAACTGTCAAAGACTGTAATGACTTATAGTAATCACCGAGGGTAGTAAATCTTCAACACTCTATATACCTACGGTCTTAAAAAAGTGAAAACATGCACAAATCGAATTCAAAGTATAATAAAATTTTCTTTATTAATTCACCAATGCAATTTCGTGGTCCATCTCCAAAAGGTAAGTAGCTCATTGGATGTCTCAGCGCAACTGCTTCTTGGTTAAATCTTTCTGGGTCAAAGACTTCTGGATTTGGATAAATGCTGGGATCGTGATGAATTCCTAATACCGGAACCAATACTCTAGTACCTTTAGGAATTGTTACTTTCGTATTACTGAAGGTATAATCGCTGTTGCATTTTCTCCTCACCATAGCTCCTGGTGGATACTTCCTTAGTGTTTCTGTGAATTAAAAGAATATGTGACTTAAAATATTAGGTCTATAAAAAACATATATGTATAAATTAGAGCTGTTACTCATATGAGATATTTTGTATTTTGCGATAAATAATAAAACATTGGAACAATTAACACGTCAATATCTTCAAGTTGTAGGATAGTACGCTTCTAGGTAACAACATTTTCAATTATTTAAAAATGTTAATTTGCTGGCAATGATGTAAAAAAATTAAAAACTTGTAATTGTTTAAACAGCCGATGTTATATTGGATTTTGATAATATTTGAATGATTCAACTCCACTTTTTTTTTATCAAGATAAAAGGTAAATATTTGGTTTAACGAACCCAGCTCCGATGATCTTAACATTGACATATGTTGTCAAGAACGTCATTTTCAACAATTGTTCCCTATACACCTCCATCTTAGTTTCCCAGATAATCTCAGAAAACTTTATGGGTGCAGGGGCAACTACTTCAAAACAATAGACAAGTTTCTATAATATTTTATTCAGTATTGAATTGTTCTAACCGATACAGCGAACTTACTGTATTAAAAAGTCAGCTATCGAACCGTGTAATACTCATTAAGAAACCTCGAAGGGCAATCTTGACCATCTTAACCTTTTAGGTACGGCTGAATTCTGCGCGAGGCTATTTTTCTGGACGCCAGAGTCTGATGTGTACTGTACAGAATATGATACTGTATATACAGGGTGTCCCAAAAATGTCTCGCAATCCGAAAGTGACGGGTTCCTCGGGCCATTTGAAGCAACTATTTCCTTTACAAAATTTTTCTCCAAGGCACCGTTAACGAGTTATTAACGAAAAACAGTGACCAATGAGAGACAAGCTCAGCTGGCGCAAGGCGATCGAGCCAATGAGCAGAACTGGGCTTCGTGCGCTGGTTGGCTGGGCCGCCTCGCGTCAGCCGTACTCGATTCTTATTGGTTACTGTTTTTCGTTAATAACTCGTTAACGGTGCCTCGGAGAAAATTTTTGTAAAGGAAGAAGTTGCTTCAAATGGCCCGAGGAACCCGTCACTTTCGGATTGCGAGACATTTTTGGGACACCCTGTAGACTGTTGTAAATCGATGTGAAGACAAAAGAAGTGTGAAACAATGCATATGAAGACGATTATTTGGTTCAAACGATGAGCGAGTGAGCTACTAGAGCAGCCACTATAGTGGCGCGTCGTCCAGAGAGATGACATCCGCGAAAGCCACTATAGTGGCGTGTCGTTCTGAAAGATTACATCCGCTAAAAGGTTAATCGGCTGGGCCCTTCCAAAGAGAAGATATAGTTCAAGTGCTTTCATTTTTCAAGTGCATTCAAGAAAAGTCATTACGCAAGGAGTGAGGTCACGACGCATACACAGGGAGTCTCATACGGCGGCGTAGCGTTTCTACCGGGTGAACGTTATAATTCTGAACTACTGATCAGACAGAGGCTCTATCATGCATCGCGATTGCAGTTTAACAACTGTCGTTGTGCTGGACTGCCGCACAGGCAGGCGCATGCGTCGCCTGCCCCCACTTCATGTGCAGTGACTTTTCCTGAATACACTGCTCACGGCCAACCCTATCCACTCACTCCCCTGACTTAACCCCGAACAACTCCAAATCGATTAAATTATAGCTTTTTAACAAGCATTTGTTCATTTTATCTTGAGCGTACGTAATATCTCTGTTATGTCTGATGTTAAAAAGAAATGTGCACGTGAAAAATTACACGATTTCATGGGACGAATATAAAAGTAAAATCCTTATTCTTCTTCAAAAATTTTTAAGTCGAGTTTTCAAGGTCATTGTCGACTTTTTAAATGGAACAGTATATTTTCGTTAATGCAATATTATAGCTCACGAAAAAACGAATTCATACGTGTATAATATCATCACTATTAGATGACGATGAACACGTCATTTCGTACACTACCTACAATAAAGGTAAGTGCTTCTACATTAAAACACGTTTATTCTTGTTTCACTTCATTTTCCTATTTAAACGCGATTTATAGTATTCAAGATCATCTAAAAGTCATGATAATATACATGGATAAATTGGTTTTTTACAAATAAGCGGACAATAAAGAAAATTTCATTTTCATTAATTTGTGTTCTTTTATAATTATGTCATTAAAGGATAGCCGAGATTCTTCTGATTCAAATGAATCCGAACACGTAATTTAATTCTTGGATTAAATAATAAGCAATTTATAATAAAGACTTCTTCGATAAACGTAATTAGATTTACATCATGTTTGGACTCATTCTAATCAGAAGAATTTCAGCCATAGCTTGGTGTTATAATTACAAAATTAAGGCGAAGATGACTGAAAATAAAATTTTTCTTTGCATATTTACTGTATCAGTCAAATGATGTACGTCTCTTCCCTTTCTTTTCACTGTATTAAAAAGTCCCAGGCTTTTAAGAAGACTGGAGCTGGGTCTTGTAAATTTAACCGATTGCTGCATTATTGCTGTCGTATTTTGAACCAAATTCCCCTACGTTTCGCAGTTGCCGTTAATTTAATTCAAGCGGGACTTTCGAAACTATTTGGGGAATGATGGTTAGAGATAACAATCAGTTTATCCATAAATAAGTGAATGGTTTTGCAAAGTTCTAGTAGTTCATCCAAAAAACACAACCAAAATTATGCAACAATTATCAACGAATATATGTGTATACGTACCTTTAAAAACTTTGTCTAAATATTTCATTTCTTTTATATCATCATACTTGATGGAGCCATTGTTTTTTATACTAAACTCTTTAATTTCTGCACGCAATTTTTCTTGCACCTGCGGATTCAGCGCCATCTCATAAAGAGCGTGACAGATAGTAGTCGATGATGTTTCGAAGCCAGCTGCGAAGAAGACCATTGCTTGCGCAGCCAGCAAGTTGTCCGTCAATTCTGAAATTGATTATCGACTATTTAATTGAATTCGAATGAAACTATTCAATCATATATTATTTACTACTCGGGTAACCTTCCGAATGATATCATTTATATACTCAGAAGAATTTTAGTAATTTACATTTAGCCAGTGACATTTACTTTATAATAATCACACTTATGGGTATCAGTTCGTGTTATTTTCAATAATTTCATTAGTGAACAAATTTGTAGGTAATTTACGTAATAAATTTATTTCTCTACAAACACATGATTATGTTAGTAAAATCGAAAGTACATTTCTACATTCTACTATATAGTCCATAAGTGAGAGCGAATTCGTAATTTTGACAGCAAGGTCATATTGTTAAAAATTGTTGTGAAAGTCATAACCGAGCTGCCTAAGCAAATTCCAGACAATTTTAAAACATTGCCGAATGAAAAAATATATTCAAGATAGGAGGGAGCAATTGAAGCAAAAAACTATTAAAAAACTCTATAAATCTTTGTCAAAGATAACGATGACTGTTAATAAATATAAAGGAGTCTCAAAATATTAAGCATCAAATATCATTCCTTGATTTATTGCTACAAATGTGCCATCATTTTGTATCACTGTATTCCTATAAAAATTTGTTTCCTTTCAAATAAAATTGTTCAGACTGGTGAAATTCAATACTATTTCATTTTTGTATGTTTATAGTGGTATTTTGAAAATTTGTATGAAAACAAAACCTCGATTGTAATATTAAATAAATAAAAATTATGTTAATTTAAAAGTGCGCTGTCTTCTTGTCCGACAGTGTATACACAATCGGACTGGTTTCACGGTCAGCTCACACCACACCCACAAGCATTTAACCATAACCAATCTCGCAACTATTTGGAGTTTTTAATCAAGTGCGTCTCGTTCAAAATGTTTAAAAAGCTATACGTTAATAACTATAATTAGACATTACCATTGAAAAAATACAAATGTGGGGCTGTGGTAGCTTTAATGTATAATAAAATCAGTATTTTTAAGTTTGCCAATCTTTTAGAAAATTAATTTTGAAATGAAAAATTCTGAAAACATTCTTAGTGTTGTGCCCCACAGAAGGCCTATTGATTTTTTCATAACTTTTCGTTCTGCAGAATAGAAAACATAGAGCATAATCTGTTACTTCGATCTAACCCTGTAATTATTTTTGTGCTGGAAACGATTTGAAACTTGGCTGTAGGGCTGAGGATTCTGTTTAAGCAGTCTACTGAATGATGACATCAGACAATTTTAGTTCAAAATTGGACCCGTATGCAACAACAACAACAACCGGTAGGTATTAAGATGACTAAATCTAAATACTTTGTATACTCCTCAACTTTGTGGGTTATCTTAATCTCATGAATAATTTTCCTTCCCGGTCAAGATTTAAACTGCGTTTTTTAAAAATTGTGGCTTATACGTATAGTTCCACGCACAACAGATGTGTCTCCAGGTGAAAGTTGTAAAATTCTTTAACAGGGTTTCCAGGGGCATAGCTGCGGTTTTTAGTCATTCTCGAGTCTTCATCGAGCTAACGTCGCAATATATATATATTTGTGGAGTGTCGTGGAAATGTGAATGAAACAGTGCGGAGGTTGCGGCAGAATATTGCAAACGCGGTCAGTTAATGCAGGAATCAAAGAAAGGAATCCAAGGGATATCTGCATACCTTCCCCAACTGCCGAGGGTTAATTGAGTGACCAGTGTTTGGAAACAGTGATGTGAAAGTAAACTCTGTGAACTCCTTTAATCAAAATGAATCAAAGAGAGGAGTTCGACGAACCTTCCTTCATTATCGAGGATTCATTAAGTGGTCAGTGTTTGGCGACAATGCTGTGAAAGTGAAATCCGTGTTTATCATACCGTTCCTATTTAAAGTGCCTCCGACCATATCTCTTCCTCGGTATAGCCATCGAAATGAGATCGACTGAATTTTGAGCGAGGTCGGAGCACCGACATCGTGAATCGTAACTCACATTCACAAGCAACAAATGAGTCCTCAACTGAATAGGTGAGTTTATTGCTAAATACATTCTTCACAATTCTTAAACAAACATATTTTTCGTTCGTTGAATTCTGTTTGGATACGGAATTATTGAAACGAAAATATCTTTTGCGTAAGTTTGACGGGATTTTTTATTGTTAATCTACACAATAATCGGCTTAATTAATATCTAAAACGGCTATCACGGTTAAACTAGTAACTATTTCTGCTCTGAAAAATTAGTAAATATTCTTCAGACATTCTAAAATAAGGATTAACTGCGTTTTTTATAGAAATGTCACCGTAATGTAGTAAAAAGAAAATCGGAAAGTTCACGCTCCCTGACTTGTCCATTGCTTCGAACGCAGCTCGAAGCCTTCACGCCCCCGACCGAAGCCGCGAGACACTGACTCGATCGACTACGTAGCCGTTCACGCGCTCGCCTCTAATTGGTCACTGTGTTTTTCATTAATAACTGGTAAACAAAACCGCAGATTGCATTTTCGTCAAAGAAAGAGTTATTTCAAATGACCTCAGGAATCGCCCCATTTCCCGGGAATACGATAATTTTGGGACACCCCGTATAACAGTTGTAAAGAAAATAAAAACTTACCGATATCTTGTAACTTCTCTGGGTGATTCTTTAACTCTTTCAGCATGTTCATGAAATCTGGCCTAATCACGTTATTTTCTTCTCTATACTTGATAGTGTCCGATACAACTCGTATGAAAAATTTAGTACCATTCGAATGCGGTTGTAGAGACATAATAAAGAAGTATAATTTCGGCAGAAATTCTCGGAATGTAAACTTTAAGGTATCCCATAGCGAAGTTGAGAAAACCTTCTTTCCCATTCGCCGAAATTCACTTTCTTCACTGGATAATGCATTCATGTTAATCCCAAAAACACAACTGCCGATGACGTCAGTCGTGAATTTTGCTGCTACTTCGCGAAACTCTATCGGCTCCCCTTCTTGTTCTAGTTTCACCAAATATTTCTCTAAGTGGTCCGAGCATTCCATTATCAAGTGAAACATTTCCTTGAGTTTTCCAGATGTAAAAACTGGCGTGAGCCTTGTTCGTAGTGGCCGCCATCTCTTTACTTCTAAATTGAAGATGTGGTCGGTTAATGGTTCCACCTATAGCCATGACAATAGTGAGATTTTTCATTTTTTATAAATGTTGTCTGTAGAGTTCTTACGCGACAAGAAGACTTTCTGTTTACATTCCCTCTCTTACGTGCTGTCCTACTGCCGCACCGTTCCCATCCGATAACGGTGACGAAGACCACTATCGGCAGAGGGGGATGTAAACACAAAGCTGCCTTTTTGTCGCGTAGGGCAGTGTACATGGTCCCTCAAAACTCCCGGAATGATCAGCTATTTTAAGAAGAAAGCCTGTATGTATATTATATGTATATATAAAAATTCACAAGACAAGGATGTGGATGCATTAAATTGCATTCTATTTAATGGTCAAAGTCATATCAAATTCAATATGATCCTTTTAAATGGATTTATGTTTCTTCTATGAAAATTGTCTGAGTTATGACCTTTGAAAAGCGCGTCTCTAAAAGTCTCGGAACAGCCGATTATTTCAGAAGAAAAGTATTTTTGAAATGAATGCTTTGAACAAAAATGTTTGAATCGTTTTATTCAATGGTCAACATAAGTTTGAATAGTTTTATTCCATGATCAAATGGATTTGAGTGAGTAAATCAAGGTCGCGTCAAGCTTATCTATATCTTTCAAAAATCATAATAAACAGTTTTCATAGAAAAAAGGCCGTGAACTAGAATTTCTTAAAGGACTCACTGTCAGCTGTATATGGCATAGATAAAACTGGCATAGTAAAAATTTAGTTGTTCCAACTCAGAGAGTAACTTCGAGCTTGATGTGACATTGAGCCACCCACATGAGATAAAAGGCATATGTCCATTCAATAGAATGTTTTAACTTTTAAGCAGTATCCTCAGAAACGTTTTGGTATTCTGAAACAATCGACCATTTGAAGACTTTGGGGATCCCATGTTTCGAAGCTCATAATTCAGACAACTTAAGAAAAAACATAAACAACTGATGTTTTGGAGAGGACTCCTTATCATTTAAATCTACTTATATAATTAAATTGTATATAAGTGTACTTTAATATTAATAATTATACTTTAATTTTTATACTTTGCTCCGTTCATTCAAAGTGATAACATTTGTGAACATTAAATATTACGTTTCATACGTCCACACTTCTCAAAAATTCTTAGTTTCTGAAGTAATTGACCGTTCCGGGCATTTTTACAAGGCAAAGCGACAAGGTGATTTATGGGCCAAAGATAATTTCAGAGTGACAATTTTTGCATAGGAATTCGACATCCAACAATTTCAGACGTATACTATTTTCATTGCTTACATTAAAAAAAAATAAGAATCTCTCTCTCCTGCTCTTAACGTTGCAGGTAATTTAACCAGCAATGAAAAATCTTGACAACTATTACACACCAAATGCAATCTTCTTCTCTTTGACTAATAATGTTTTTTCAAATATGAAACGGTTGCGAGTTATTTAACCTGTTCTTCTATATTTTCTAGTAAAAAGTTAAACGTTTCTAATACAATTCTTTGATCTTATATCAAAGGAAAATATCCGTAAATACATTTGTTATGCCTACCTTCCCATTAATAACGATTCCACGATCATCGAAAACAGAAAAATCTTTGATGAGAACATCCTTAATGAGATCCATGTCACATACGATAGCATTAGGAGTACTGTTTATAAAGATTCCAATAAGGGGCTCATTTTTGTATTTTTCATACAGCTGCCTTATATGAACGCCAATTGTTGCTTTTTTCAAGAGAACATCTTTAATAGTGCCAAATACAGGTATTGGATCAGGTCCAGGTACACCTTTCCTTCTCCAAAAATCGAAGGTTGATGTTAAGTAATAATATACAGCAACGAACGCCAACGCAATGGCGCTGAGTATTTGGAGATAATCAGCCATGATCGTAGGCTTCCTAAAAATAATATTTACGAATGCTTCAGGAATAAACAAACATTTCATCATATTTCTACTTAATTTCTATATAGTTTCTTGACGTTTTATTTGGCCAACACTTCACGCTTACGTTAATGGCACATTTTTTTTTTAATGTATGTGTTTAATTTATTTGCATATACGTGTTAATTCATTACAATTTTAGAAGCATTTTTGATTCACATCTTTATATTTGTTAAATGAGCTAATTTATACTCGTTTTTGTAGAGAAAACTTGTAGAATTTGAAGAGTAAAGTGTACAAGTATAAACAAACCGGAAGATATTAACAATTATCACTTAGAAATTTTTGTAAAATTATTTTTAATCTTTAGAAGGTATATGCTATAGTCGCTTAAAAGGTCTCAATCTGTCTATCATCCGATTTGAACAGTGGATGAGTGATCATCAAAGAATAACGTGAACAATTATAATTCCAATTTTGTCCATGCGAGACCTGGGAAAATTTTATTTGAAACGCTGCTTTTAGTGCTGTTATTTGGAAATGAAAGTAACATAGCTCAATTTGAAGTAGTAGCAATTTCAAATAATTCATTATTTCGTTATACTTTTATTTCGAATGTGACGAATTAAATAATCCCCAAAATAACATGCAGCAAATATATTTTATTTTCGAAAGTCATTACATCGATTTGCTTTAAGCAAAACTTTCTCTCTCTCTCTCTCTCTCTCTCTCTCTCCCTCTGTCTGTCTGTCTGTCTGTACCAAGATATAATCCTTGAAATAATATGTAATAAAAAATTTTATTCTATGAAATCTTTACAGGTATTTGCTTCGGACGAAACTCTTTCTTCAGAAAGTTCATTCTTAAGATTGAGGCCTATTGCAACTGGGACCCTAGTACACACACCTGGAAAGAATATATGTATATGTATATGTACATATTTCAAGGAACTTGTAAGAATTCCAGATATTTCGTTTTGACCCATGAGTATCGCAATGTAACTACTGGCTGTGACTACTGCGACTACTGGCTTTTCGCAAACATTATAAAGATGCTCCAGGGAAAATAATTTGGCTGAAATGTTGAAGTGATTGCCGAAACGAAGGCCTATTTTGAGAACAAAGACAAATCGTTCTACAAAAAAGGCATCGAAAAGTTGGAAGAGCGTTGGAATGAATGTATCACTTTTGAAGAAGAGTACGTTGACGAATAAAGTCGAATTTCTATAAAAAAATTTGTTTTTCTTAGCTAGACCGAAGTCTTATTGAGTGATGTGTTATAGTTCGAGAATGGTCAACTATGTTTCCTAAAAGCTCTATTTAGAACTGTTCGGTCTTTAAAATACCAATTTTTACGTTACTGTAGAGTAATTTGTATTATTCATGTTTAATCATATTTTAATCAGCAAACGAGAGGAATACAGTGCTAAATGTTTCGTCGACGAAAAGCCAAAAATAAGGTATATTGAATTTTAAATTTGAAGGGCTGAGCTCACATGAATTCTTTAATATCTTCCGGACGCCTAGACCCGTAGTCCTTCTTTCTTTCTCAATCGCTATCCTTTTCCCTGTTCGGAACACCGAAAAATATGAAGGATAAGTATGTCAATTATTGAATTAAAGAAGTACTTTTGCGTGATATTCGTCTCCTAATAGCAGTGAAATTCCACGTAAGAAAATTTTTAGCGACATCACTGTTAGAGAAGATACTTATGTATATCGAAACGTTTCGGTGGACCACCCCGTACATATATACGAACGTGGACAAATATACAGGGGGTGGAGCATGGAACGTGATAAGCTTAATTCATTCTGCTGCTAGTGGTTCGATTAGAAATTTTTTAGTTAAACTAACATACTTAAGGATTTTTTTGTACACATTTTTAGGGGATGCTAAGACCAATTCGACAAGCATCATAACATACAGTATTTTGCGAATGTAAAAACAGTTGTTGGTTATCTACACAAAAATTTTAACAACTCCGGAAAGAAAGGGTTGACAAAAAATTTGGTACAATCATCTTAAAATTCTGCTTAAACCATGTAATTTTAGTTGAACAAATTTCCAATCGAGAAAGTAAGAGAGTTAATTTACCAGACAATGCGTAAACAATTTTGCAAACACTGCAGTTGGGTGGAATGATAACAAAAATTAAAAAATCATGTTTCTAAACTTTTCTCATCTCTGTGTGCCTATAACAAACATCTATCCGATGCATTTTCTTTTATTTCGTCGAAATTGATTAACATTGCCACGAGATACAGTTGTGGTACAAATTATCACAAATTACCTACAAATTACAGTTTGTGGAAATCTAAGTTTTTCATTCGGCCAACAATGCTAGCATGTCCCAGTTATTAGTTGTCTCTACATCAACGGATTTCGATGAAATTTTCAGCATTTGTGTAAGTTACGGAAAACGTGACTTTTTAATTTTTCTTGTTATTTCTCTCAATTGTCATTTTTGCAAAAAATTGTAACACTTTGCCCAGCTAGCTGCTCCTTCTAACATCTCAAAAAGATTCAACTGGTTTAGTCCAATTTTATAAACGTTATTCTGTTTTAGAATATGTCCAGATATACATGCCTACTACTATATATTAGACAGATCACAATTATACATTATCATATAATACGTGTCATTACATTAAACTTACATTATAATAGAATATTCTATAATGTTTAATTGACTTTATACTTCTTCAGTAGTACTCTATCACTCTATAATGTTTAGTTTATACTTTTTACTTTATACTTCTTAAGGGTAATTTAAGAAACAATATTTCATGTAGATACTATTCTGTCACTCTTCTCTGCTCTTTTTTGGGAAGTTTTGATTTGGCAAGGGTGCGGTTCATATTACGAACATTTATTGTGATAAAATTTATTTAAAAAAAATGGAATTATTAAAATTCTGGGAGGTTGGCATATTTATGATACATACTGCACGTTATGTTAATAAAAAAGCTGTTACATGAAATCAATTTATCTCAATTAATTTACTGAAAAATACGAGATTTACTAATGATTCACAAACAATCAGTCAACTGATAGGTTTTCACAGAAAGAGCATGTCATTTGAGTAACAGATGATTGATATCGTACAAGTTTCAATATCGCAGCAGAGACTTTTATAGAATGGCTAGAAGAACAGATACTAACACATATAATTTAGATGTGTGTACGCCTTTTAACATAATTCAATAAACCCTGTGGTTTGAAAGATCAAATAGTCTAACATCAAGTGTGGAAGGAGAAATATTTGAAAAATACCTTAAATTTTTTTTTTTCCATGCCTTATAATAAATACTTTGAATACCAAATGATTTAAATTACTTTTTAGATAGAGGGGCCAATTTCCTAGAAACTAGCCAGTTTCCTAGATAATAATTATACTACATTTTTTAATTTGGTTATTACTTGGAATGACAACAAAAGAAAAGAATTCATGTTTATTTGTAGATCCCTGTTACTTATAAAATTTCATTGAAATCGGTGAAATAAGCTGTGAACAATTAAAGATCGCGAGAATAGCGAATCCAAATTTTGGACACTTTCGATCAATAACTGTTAGAAATATGCAGTTTTTTAAATCTCTGAACACTTGCAGCTTGACTTTGCGTTAAGCAATTTCGATGAAATTTTCAGTAAGCATAGAAGTTACCAGGATCCATAAAACGCATTTTTTAAATTTTCGTTGTAGGCTCAGATAAAAAAGTTAAAAAATCGTGAGTTTTTCTTTTTTTGTTATTCCAAGTAATAGCAAAATACAAAAAAAATAGTATCTAAGATAAATTCATGTCATTTGGACTAATTTTAAAAAAGTTCTTCCGTTTGAAAAGCTGTCAATATACTTCCTGCGACAAATGTGTGTACAGTTCGTTAAGAAATGTTTGATCTCGGCTATCGTATCGTATTCGATACATTCGGAACGGTAAACATCTATGTAAGAATGTTCTCTCACAAGTGTCCTTGGTCACGATTTCTATGGTCAAATTTTCATATCCTTATATTTCATTCTCTTGGAGAAAATGTTTGTTACTACTATAAATAGTAGACTATGGATTTTATGCATTTACGCTATTCGCAACTTATCAAAATAATTAAAAGAAATAATTTATTTTTAATTTAATTTCTATTTCTTACAATTATCTTCGAAAATTTTTATCTTGTATAAAGATCCACAGTCTAATAATGAGGAATGGGATTTGCACTTTTTTTTACGGCTGGCAAGCGACCTATACAACGGGTGACTTGTAAAAAAGGTATCTTTTGTGCATGTAGAAAGTGGAGAGTTTGATGTTTTCGAGATATTTAATATTGTCGAATGCGAGAATCGTCATAACCTTGTTTGCTTCACTTGCTCAAAAAAAAAGATAAATATCCAAAAGCAACATACTACCGCTCCAGACGAAAGGGGGAGGTATAAGAGAAGAGGATTCGATATATAAAAATTTTGTTTCGGGGACTTGAGAGTATTCAAGATATTAATGGAGAATTTCTAGTACTACTACAATAAATCTCCGCGAATACTGGCTCTTCTGTCTGAGGTTTGGAGGGTTCTAAGATCCCCTTACCATTTCGGTGCCATGCTCAGTATTACCGATAGTTCACGAATTTAGGCACGTTAGTATGAATCGAATATCCTACATATTTCATTTATACTACGAAAGCTGAATATATTATATGGAGACAATAATATTTGTATTCGGCGCAAACATTTAAATGGTGGAAATCGTATTTATGAAACATGTACTGGAGAGATATAATATAAAGTGTAGTTATTTGTATGAATAGTTGAATTATTACTTCTAATAACTATATAATTAGGGATGTTATATTATTTTTATACATTTTTTCTTGCTGGCGCGTATTTTCAACGTTAATAAATTTACAGGCTTTATAGTGATAGCATTCTTTTCAGAACTTGATGAATAACAGTTTCAAATATTGTGTGTTTGATACTTATCTTTATGTATCTTTTATTTTGTAATACCATTTTTCGAATAATGATAGAGACATTATTTTATTCTACAATATAATATCATTTATTATAAAAAACTTAGTTATACAGTGTGTCAAAAAAGGTTTTGTCGTGACCAACATGTTGTGAACTCTATATCCTCGGATCGATGGAGATCTGTTAAAAATACTTCCCGTAAAAGTGACCTTCAGCATGATTTTCAAGATGAAACTTTTTTCTATTACATTTTATTCTACACATTATAGGGATAATAAGTGTCAAAGGATCCATGGGTCTCAAATCAATTTTACATAGAAATTATATGTCACAATAATCCAAAATCGTGTTGCGGCCGGGTAATGATTCTACATGCAAAAATAAGTTGAAAACAAAGAGTAGAAGTTTTTAATTTCAATCTTTTTTTCATTTTTTCATTTTCATTCGTCTCTTAATACCAAATAGATTTGTTACGACACATTTTTTCATATAAACAAAATTAACGAAATTTGTGAATGTGCAGGATGAAAGGGACACCATATATACAGCTATAGTGCAGTTAATTACTGCAACAATCAAAATAATTCGAACATACATGAAGTCCTTAAGCTGAAACTTTTACTATGATTTGTGTGCGTTATATTGAAGAAAAATGTGTATGGATTTTGCAATCCAATAATTTTTTCACAAAAAACTTTTTTTGTTACTCACAAATGAAGTCGTAAAACTAATTTTTATATAATTCGATTCTGTGTAAGAAAATACTATAGAAATACATCTTTTCAAAATTTACACACGCATACACGCGCGCGCGCACACACACACACACCTATGTACATGTACATGCTACTTGCTTTACTTCAATCTTCAATTGGTAAAGAATTTGCTTAGAGTATACTATAGAAGTGAAGTGATGCAATTTGAAATGCTATTTCTGGAATATTTTTTGAAATATGTTATCTTAACTTACAATTATTTCAAATAATTAATTGAGATAATTACGTAATTCTCTAAATTTGGATCATACTGATATCCTCATTGACATTTCAACAAGATAAAAGTACCGATTTAACTTTATAAAATGATGGCTCGATAAGAGAAAACAATTTCCTGAAGATTAACATTCCCCTTCCATCTTCCACATCAGTGGAACGATTATTTCCTTTCCCAACAATATCAGATAATAGCCTCATACAAAACTTTTAAAAATGAACTTTTTGAGAAAAGAGTGTTCCTAATAGCAAATTGCTGTACAGATTTTTTAATATAAAATATTTTTATCGCTTATTATTAAGAAGATTATACCTTTACTAAGGAAGACTTTCGTTTAAAGCAAATTGATGTAAAAAGTTTTTCAAATCAGATCTTTTCGTTGCATGTTATTTAAAGCATTATTTCTTTTGTCATATTTGAAACAAAGCAATGTCAAAATAATTCATTATTTGTAATTGTTATTATTTCAAATGGATCGATATTATTTTTATTTTTAACTAACAGCATTGAAAATAACGGTAATTATTCAGTAGACTTCAGTACTCCTTCAGTACAGCGAAGGAGATATCCGATGAAACGTCAGTCGATATAGTCGACATGGAGATGGATCGCGCACCGGACCAAGTATACAAAAGTATACAATGGTGTTGCTATTGCTATACAATACTAATAACCTAATTATTAAAACTTCTTCTACTTTTTCATAACTACTCAAAATTTTCAAGTTCGTACTAGATAACGTTAGATGAACAACTCGAAAAAACAAAAACAAAATTGTATCATATTTGAATAATAATTGATTTTAAAATTATATATGATTATATAATGCAGTGCAATATAAAACGAGCGATCATTTTGCATCGGTTCACTGTAAAAATACTGTTGCTTATATTAGACAATATTTGTTAATGCGAAGGGAATTTTAATTAAAATAAAATAAAATAAAAGTTTTCACATTGTTGATATAAAACCGAACTTACTTAAAATCTTCACGCCACGTCAATTGCGAATCCCCGCGTGCTTCCACTATTGGCTGTCTGCATCAGCTCGAAAAACTTGTGATCCTACACAAGTGTCGTCAACACTTTGACTCACAACTTTTCAATCTAGAGATCATAAGAGAGAGTGCATAAGAAAAATAAGATGTTGAGTGAATGCAAAATTCGAAATAGTACTGCAAGCCGAAATGAATATTTTTATTATAGTTTCTGTTATATACAGAGTGTTATCGAACTGGTGATACAAAGGTGGAAAGGTGGCGAATCTACATGAAAAAATAATTCGAAAATGTAGAGTGACATTTTTTCGTACGGAACTTCATTTTCGAATAAATCGATGTTAATTATTCGTAGAATAGGCGTAAACTTGACTATGTTATAAACAGAGCTGGGTAATATTTATAGAGAAAAAATATTTGAAATACTATTTTAAATAACACATTCTTCACAATTTAAATAGAATAGTACTTCAAGTAGGACATAAAATTTCAGTAAATAAAATATATTGATTTCGATTATCCAGAGATATAATGCATGAAATAAATATTTCATTTTGATAATGTGAAACGTAAAATAAAATAGTTTATCTTGGTATCTGAGGCTATAGCATGAAATTAAATATTTTATTTTGATAATCTAAAATACAAAATAAAATAGTTTTTATTTTAATAACATAAAACATAAGATAGAATACTGAAAATAAATTGTGAAGATAATTAACGGAACGTAAAACGAGAGATCATAAGAAATCATGTTCGCAAATGAAATTTATTGTCATCTTTGCAAAGTGCATATTTTATGTACGTTGATAATGCAGAGGAAAAATACTTTGTTCGTTTTAGATTATCAAAATAATTATATTTTACCATTTATTTGATTGTTTATCAAATAAAATGCTATTTGAAATATTATCTGAAGTATTTCTTACAATGAATAAAATATTTGGGAACGTACACAGAAATCTAATATACAGGCTACCATTATGTTAGCAAAGGAACGGTAAACGTTTCCAACGATTTTCGAATTAATAAAAAACCTCTTCATCAAAAAGTATCATTTCAATGTTTATCCCTTAATATCTTCAGACGTAGGCGTAAGCGAGATCATATGCAAGTATTCAACGAACATCTAACATCGATTTATTCAAAAAAGATGATTCGTACGAAAAAATGTCACTCCACATTTTCGACTTACTTTTTCATGTAGATTCACTCTCATTTCGCTTGTACCACAAGTTCAGTAACAATCTGTATGACAACATAAATTTTAATTTAATTTAAACGAATTTATATCTGAAAGATCTCAAATAAAACTGTGTTAGCTATTTTTTATTACACCAAAATAGTTGTTAAATCATAGCGTAAAACACTTGACTTAACCACAGAACGAAAGAGAAATATTATAACTAGAGAAGAAAATTACATGTGAAAGCGGGGTGCTTGAGGTCTACTTTCTTGGTATACAGTCAATGTTCAACACGAATAGTGGGTTCCTTACGGCATCTCTTTTTATTATAGCACCGCGATCAGATAACACCAAGTATTGAAAGTTACCAATCATTCATTGTATTCTTATCTGTAACGTGTAAAAAATGATACAGTATCAGCTATGTAGTAGCGCTCGGTTATAGCGCTCATAAATGGGCATATTTTATTGGAATAGAAATTTTATTGGAATACATTTTTCAAACAAAATTTTACTCGAGTAACATCTCGAATAAATTGTTCATATAAATTATTCCAATAACATATCGAATAAATTATTCCAATAAAATTTTATTTGATAAATGAATAAATTACTCGATAAAATTTAATTTGAATAACATCTCGAATAAAATTTAATTCGAATAACATCTCGAATAAATTATTCGAATAACATGTCGAAATAATTGTTCGAATAATCTTTGAAGAAGAAGTATTAGTGAAATATATTTGAAGGAAGAAAATTACCAATGTTACGGAAAATATAACAAAATTTTCTCGTGTTTATAAGGTAAATGATATAATTACATTTTTTATAGGCACCTCTTACGAATCTAACATAAAATTTAAATTCTGCTATGTAGAAACATATTATGCATATAGCTGTGGTCTCATTGAAATAACTTAAAGCAAATGGAAAGAAGGTTCTTCTTATCATTCTGGTTTATTTAATAAATTTGCTTTTAATACAACTTTTGGTTCGAACATTTTGTCCGATAATCTATTTGCTTTAGGTCAGTTGATTACAGTAGCAACTGAAAATGAATAAAATTCTTTCCTTCGAAAAATTATACTTTGGCCAGCTTTTGGGCGTTTTTGCACACCAGCGTTCTATTGGGTTTGGCAACTAAGTAATTGCCGATTTGTTCAATGAAATAAAAAATTTTCTTTACTTAGAATGAAGTTTAATCTGTAATGTATTTTCCATTTTGTTCTATGGCCTTTTGCCATCTCTCTGACAACTTTTTCGGCCAAAAACTGAGTTAAGTGAGATTTTACAGCGTCATCATCATTAAAAGTTTTACCACGAAGGGAGTTGTCTGGGATCGAAATAAGTGGTAATCCGATGGCGCGAGATCAGGGCTATATGGTGGGTGTAACATCAATTCCCAACCAATATCCATCAATTTTTGCCGAGTGGACAAAGACGTGTGCGGCCTAGCATTGTCCTGGTGGAAAATGACACCTTTACGATTGACCAATTCTGGTCGCTTTTCCTTGACCGCTGCATTCAATTCGTTCAGTTGCTAACATTCACAGATAATAAAAAATAATATAATAATAATAATAATAATTTTATAATATAACATTTACGGATATCATAAAAATGGGAGTGAGAGACACCTATAACTGAAATCGGCAATTACTTAGTTGCCAACCCAATGCATATGTAAGCGAAACAATGCATACATAAGCGAAACAACGCCAGAGCGGATACATAGGATTAGTAACGACTGGATAGGCATCACGCAATGTCTCTTAGTGACGTCTGTATATATTGCTTTCAATGTACAGCATTCAAAGGTCGCTCGCGGAAGTACATTTGAATCTCGTATGAGATAAGCGCTATCGGAGTTGGACAATATCCGAGTAATTTAATCGTTTATTCTCGAGTATTATTCGAATAATCTTTAAAGAGGAAATTAGAAGAAGAGAAATATATATATTTGTGAAGGAAGAAAATAACCAAAGTTGCGGAAAATGTAACAAAATTTTCACGTGTTACTGTAAATTGTTCCTAGAATGCCAAATTCGGGTTGCTGTGGATTTCCCTGTGCTAGTAGTCATACACCTACGTGATTTATTACTACGTCGATGCTAAGGTTCGATGGAATCGGACAAGCACGTGTTGTGGCATGCGATGTGGTCCGTTTAACTCGAATTCCTAATAGATACAAAATGGTTTGTTTCGGCGTGAGTCAGATAAGTAAATCTGCGGAGCTACAAGGTACTTGACCAATCGCAACGACCGTTGATCCCTCACGCGTAGGCTCGTCCCACCGAATCTCCGTCGAATCGAGGCATGTGACTTCCGAATTTCCGTCGAATCGAGGCATGTGGCCTCAGAATTTCTTTTAAACGTAGGCCCTAATATCATAACTCCAATAATATATTCTTTGGAACGACATACATACCATCTTTGACGCTACCATTAATATTTTTCCAATGCTTTGTTTGTTATAATTACAATTTGTGCAATGAAATAAAATAAGTTACTTGCTACGTGTAATGAATAAACGTGGTCCAAAGCATGTCGTGTTTGACCTCATTTTAACCCTTAAATGCATATTGTTGCCAATTGTCTACATTCCAGTTCCACTTAATTTGATTGAAAAACCTGAGTATGTGGGTTTCCGAACACACGTTGATAACAATAGACAATAGACCATGTGTGAAATAAAAGACTTGACATTACTTTTGGCGAGTAAGTTATACGTTTTTTGACATTTGAATGTGGTGGGTGATAACCTTCAATGTGTTACTTGGAGAGATATTTTCTTTTTTCGAATTTCACGGACTGAGTGCATCAAATGCAAGGTTGCTTTGTGTCACAACAAAAATCGCAATTGCTTTGCTGCATTTCATTTATAAATAATGTGAAAATTCCTATACTAATAGATAATAATAAATACATGACCGTTTGTTTACGTCTACAATAATTTGAGTAATAAACGCATATTGTTGCCAAAAGTTTACATACAACTTTTTTTCAAAATAAATACTCAATATTATTACCCAGATTTTTTTATTTATAACTTATTTAACCTATGACTACATTCCTATAAAAAACGATTTTTTAAAATTCAAA